GAACCTTTATACAATTCATTGTATTAAATATATTGTACTCTAATTAAAAATATTTACAATTAATAATATTTTACTATTACGACCATGTTATTATACATTATCAAATCATCGGTGTGGTAAGCCAGTAACTACAATAATTTTATTATGTTTTATGGCAACTTTATGTTTCCTATGTCGAATATAATTGCTGACCCTGTTGTAATTATTTTTGATATTAATGATGAAGCACTTTTTAATTGAATTCTTTATTTTAAATTTAATAAATATATCCTTGATGAATTGCGTGAACATAACGATAGAGAAACCAAACCATAGGCTTATAATACTCGCCGTTAGACTCAAGTACTCCTCGAAAGACATTTTCAGTGATATCTCGTATACGACTATTTGGTCCAACTGTTGGTAAATATAAATTTCATGATAATCATAATTAGTTACAATTATCTCGGGATACACGTCAACACTATAATAGTATTGAATACAGTCCACCCTATTTTTGCACTCCATATGACATTCACGGAAATAGTTAACTTCCTCTTTAAAATTATATTTTAAATTATACGGGTCATTATCTCGGGATACACGTCAACACTATAATAGTATTGAATACAGTCCACCCTATTTTTGCACTCCATATGACATTCACGGAAATAGTTAACTTCCTCTTTAAAATTATATTTTAAATTATACGGGTCATGTTTTATAGGTCTCAAGGTAGTTTTATGAAACAATTGATAATAGATGTATTTTGAATTATTTGTGTGCCGGGCATATAACCTCTCCCTACACTGTGCCATACATTGCTGCCAATCCATATCGTCATCGATACACTTCAGTTTATTATGACTTTCACCAAGGTTATATTTCACCATCGTTTGCTTATACACCAAAACATTTCGGTGATAACGTTTAAGCTGAAATCTTTTATAATTTGCCGATGGTAATTCTAGGTCACTAATAGGTCGATGTTTTGAGTGCACAAATACTTTAACAAAATCGTTGTATTCATTATTTGTTAGATATAGCTTGTTTATAAAAATGTGCAATGCAAACACATTTTCATTATTAATATTATGTCTATTAGGATAAATAGTGGCACACCGATACTTATTATTAATTGACTCGTTAAAATAACTATTTGTGAGACGTGTTTGGTCTCCTTTATCATTATAAATAAAACTGTCATAAAATTGTTCCGGTGCTAATAATACATCAAATTGAGCTCCAATCGAAAGATTATTAACCAACTCATATAATTTATCAAGCGCACTTTCTGTTAAAGATTGGTACATTAATAATATAAATTTATATAAATTAAGATTTTAAAATCTTACCTGTTTCTTTTACATTTTTAACAAAATGATTTTTGATTTCAGGTTTAATTTGAAAAACTTTTAACATGCATATTGTAAATGCAGTATGCGCAATTTCATTACTTGGTGACTCGTAGCGGATATTAGTAGTGGTTTGGTATCCGAAGTATAGTTCACTTATTTTATACGTTTGATACACACATCCAGACAAACATAACACATACGAAACCACAGTATACAACGTATTTAATGTAATAAATTTCATAATTAATGGGATTAAAGTTAATTAAATTTACAATATTTATAAACACTAAAATTTAGCTTTGTTTAAAATTAATGATAATTGTCCTAAATTCACAATAATACTTGTAGTTTTGACAATAGTTTAATCTATGTCTCATTGTGTTTATTAACTTTAATTAAAGTATAATATTGTTATATACTGTATATTTTTACTCTGTTGATAAACTAATTATTTATTTAATATCGTAATATTTAATAATTATTTAATTTATTATTTAATTATTTTAAATTTATTATTCTATTACTTTATTATTTATTACATCTCTAGTTTAATAAATTTTTATTATGAAATAATTAAGTATATAATATGGATATTATTGTTTATTAAGGTCATAGTGCAAGGTTATAAAAATATCTGAAATACTATTCTGAAATCGAAATTAAGAAAACTTTAATTAAATTTCCAATTTATTTTATATGGATTTCTATTTATCTTATGAAATTACAAAAATATTTTGTCCCCATTATTATTTATTATTTAATAAGCTTATATTATGTTGCTCATATTGACAATTTTAGAACTGTATAATTTGGAGGTATCTCTTAAAATAATGAAAAGTAAATTTATTTTTAATTATAACATATTTTAAATTGTACATAAGTTACATTTTGGTGAAAACAGATCATGTATTAGATCTGGTTCAATATATCGGATGATACCTGATTAATATAGGCTTATCTTTCGCTTCTTGCAAGCATTTTTTGCTTACGACTAAATATCAAAACCTTTAGTGTATAAAGTCTATAAGGTTAAGTTAAATAGATATTAATATTTAGTAGTAAATAAAAAATGCTTGCAAGAAGCGAAAGATAAGCCTATATTAATCAGGTATCATCCGATATATTGAACCAGAAATATATGATGCACAGGTTTCAATCGCAATGGTATCGAAATACGCTAACAAATGATATTCATTATTGTACTGAATATTAATGAAACCTTTACTTACTTATAGACAAAGATTAAGAATCGAGTCAATGATTAGCCGACTGTCGGGTCCTGTTAATGTTAACTGGGTTAATGCTAAAACTAAAAATCACATTCTAACATTTTTCTGCCCACAAATAACGAATATACGGTGTAACGTAATTGATTAATTTTAAAAATTGAAATTTTATTTTTCGATGGCGAATCGATTGATTAGGTTGGTACAAAGTTGAAAAAATAGCTGAAAAGTGAGCCTGAAAATACAAGGCAATCCGTAGAAATTGTTGAATCTTTAATCACGAATAATTTTATACCTAATAAAGTTACAAAAATAATCTTTTCATATTAATGTTTGATTCAATATGATTACGTTAGCTTGTTCAGTAGGCCTAATTATCTAGGCAATTTGTAAACTATTGACATTATCTGTATTATTTTATTACTTTATTATTTATTACATCTCTAGTTTAATAAATTTTTATTATGAAATAATTAATAATATCGATATTATTGTTTATTATGGCCATAACACAATGTTATAAAATATCAGAAATATTATACTGAAAGCCTGAGAAAAACTTTAATTAAATTTCAATTTGTTTTATATGGATTACTATTTATCTTATGAAATTAGTTTATTTTTTTCATAATTATATATTATTTAATTAGCTTATATTATGTTGCTTATATTGTGCCAAATTATCTTGACACTTTAAGAACTATATAATCTGGAGGCCGCTCTTAAAATAATGAAAAGTAAATGTATTTTTAATTATAATATATTTTAAATTATACATAGGTTACATTTTGGTGAAAACACATTAAGGATTAAATATAATATGTCATATTATGATGTACAGTTTTCAATCGCAATGGTATCGATAAACGCTCACAAATGCTATCCATTGTTGTACTCAATACTAATGACTCGTTCACTGACTTATAGACAGAGATTGAGAATCTAGTCAATGATTAGCCGACTGTCGGGTCCTGTCATTGGTTTCTCTATNGTTATGTTCACACAATTCATCAAGGATATATTTATTAAATTTAATATAAAGAATTCAATTAAAAAGTGCTTCATGATTAACATCAAAAATAATTACAACAGGGTCCTGTCATTGGTTTCTATTGTCTCGACTTATTTCCCATCAATTCCTATGAATTCTTTCAACTCATCTATATTTCGGGATTAAATTATTTTTTATTATT